TGTTGCTGGTGGAGCTCTTTACTACATGTCCACCCAATCTGCCATCTTGTTTGTTCTTCCCCAAATACTGTTTTTAATATTTTATCTTGTTTTCCCTCTAAAACTAGAAAATAAATACACAGAATTGTTTTTCAATAATAGATGCTCATTAATTGCAATTTTCTGTTTGGCTTTGATTGGCTGTTACTCATATTTTCAGTATTTGTTCTTTGATCTTACCAAGAAGGTCATTTTGAGGGAGCCACTTGTAGAGTCTAGTATTGGATCCCAAGGTATCTGGTTTCTTGCCATCAAATCGCCATAGTACCTATTAAGATGAAGAAAATACTTTATTCCATGAGTAGAACTACAAAGTTATAGTATGTTATAATGTTAAAGCATTTAAGAGATAATTTAGTCAAACCCCTTCCATGTGACAGAGGAAATGAAGACAAGTGATGTTAAGAAATTGGAACTACTAAAACACTGAAGTAAATTGTAATACCCACATTACATAAACTCATTTTTATATGTGATCAGGTATGAAATGCAATTATGAATAAGATTGGCTGGTGGCTGTGTGCCGTGGAGTCAGTTCTGACTCATAGAAGCCCTGTACAGGGTTTCCGAGGCTATAAATCTTAACGGGAGCAGAATGCCTCATCTTTCTCCCATGGAACAGCTGGTAGTTTCGAACTGCTGACCTTGTAGTTTGCAGATCGATTCATAACCACTACGCTACCAGAGCTCCTTATGAATAAGATTAGCAATTATCAATGCAAGTATTTGAAGAATTGTTAGGTAGTCATAGTGATAGTGCAAAAAACATTAGTGAATTTCTAATGATCTACATATTTATTTTCTTTTATCTATTTATTTTACTGGTTCTAAATTTAGTTTTAATTCTGTTTGTTTTATTATTTCTTGTTTTGAATGACATGGGAGAAAGTTTACTTATGTTTACTTGTTCCAATCTTGTTTGTTGATGCATTATATTTCCTTGCCTAATTAAACTCTGACTCCTTTCTGATAATGTCTGCAGTGGGTAGACTGATGTCAGAAATTCATCAATGAAGAGGAGTAAATGACAGTGTAGACTTTGGTGGTTCCTGTGTACCTGACAACAACTTCTCTGTAGTGCCAAAACTTCACACTACACTAATGACATATATTTATTTCTCATCACAATGGTAATGCTAAAGTAATTATCAAATAATACCTTTTATTATTTTAACATCCAACAGATAAATTTTTGTTTCAAACTGAAATATGAGATAAATTGGCACTGTCATCATAGTTTACCTTCCTCCAAAAACATCCATAATCAGATGCTTTAACAGAGCTGAAGAGACTAGATTCATTATTAAATCACTTTATCTAACCTTTTGCGGAATCTGGGCAAGAGCTGATGCAATCATACGGGCCTTTTCTTCTGTGATGTTTCTGACCATTGACCCAAGAGTAAACACAACAATACCATGTTTTCCAGAGCTCTGGACAAACTCTTCCATTTCCTAAGAAGAAAGAATTTGCTTCATCATGAAACAGCAACAAAATAATAAACAACACTTCAAGATTTAATCACAAGTGACAAATCAAGTGCAAATAAATTATTGATAACTAAAACAAAACATGTTCTTGTAGAGACCGTTCCATGTCATGATAGCCCTTTGTGTTACAGAGCAGCACTGAGCACCCAAGAGTTCTTTTGGCTGTAATCTTTATAGAGTCCTGGTGTGGTGCTGTAGGACAAATGCTGGAGAGCAAGGTCAGGTTGAACTGCAAGGTAGGCATTCCAAACTCAATAGCCACTCCTCAAAAACCCTATACAGAGTTGCTATGAGTTGAACTGACTTGAGGGCACTTAACAACAGCAATCTTTATGGAAGCAGATTTTCAGAATTTTCTTCCATAGCACCTTTGGGTAGATTGGAATTGCCAATCTTTTAGTTAGTTTTTGCTGTTGTTAAATGCTGTTGAGTCAGTTTGAACTCATAGCAGCCCGGTATAGGGTTTTGAGGCTGTAAATCTTTGCAGGAGCAGAAAGCCTCACCTTTCTCCCACGAAACAGCTGGTGGGCTCAAACTGCCAACCTTGTGGTTCAGATCCAGTGCTTGTTGTATGAAGCCACCAGACCCTTTTTAAATTAGTAGCCAGGCTCAAACCATTTTTTCCACCCAGGGATTTTCAAATATTACTAGAGAAAAATTAATAGAATAGTGGCTGCTTTTTAACAAAACTAATCACTTCATTCACTTGGAAAAAAATGTATGTTATGACATCTGTGGCCTTTATTGTGTATGTTTGTGTAAATGTACATATGTGTGGTATAAATAAGAAATGAAATTAATATATAGAAGGAGCTCTGATAGCGTAGTGGTTACGAATCAGGCTGCGAATCACAAGGTCAGCAGTTCGAAACTACCAGCGGTACCACGGGAGAAAGATGAGGCTATCTGCTCCTGTAAAGATTTACAGCCTCGGAAACCCTGTTCAGGGTCGCTTTGGGTCGGAACCGACTCGACGGCACTTAACAACAACAATAGCAAAGAGAGGGACTTTGACAATTCATTTACAGTTATTAATTACTAATATAGTTTTGGAAGAAGACATCACAGCAAGGATTATAACAAGGACCTAAATAGTTATATTTCTACTGGAGTCCCAGTGCTGTGCAAATGAGTACTGTGTCTAGCTGCTAACCAAAAGGTTGGAAGCTAAAGAACACCAAGAAAGAAAGGGTTGGTGATCTACTTCTGAAAAATCAGTCAATGCAAACACCATGGAGCACATTTCTACTCTGATTCACATGGGGTAAGCATGAGTGGGAATCAACTTTATAGCAATTGGTTAGTTTTATTTTTTCTAAATCACATATGTTTATTTCACCAGATTTTTCTGGAGACTTCTTTTAGTAGTAGTCAATATTATTTTACTTTCTAACCATGAGCACTTAGGGAAAGTTAGATATGGTGGCAATAATTGTATGTCTATACTTATTTCATTATGTAATACTTTATGTGACATCTTAAACCTTATCATAGTTTCCCAAATATTCC